GGGGCCCTCTGGCATCCCAAGCCAGTTCTTAACCATTGCGCCACTCGGCCGGCCCACAAATATTTTTGATACTGTGAGACAGTGGAGAATAGAGTAGCACAGAGAGATTAACAGTAGAGAGCAAAATGGAGTAAGTGACTGGCCTAAGACCCCGCAGCCACTAAGTGGTACAAGTTCCTTTCCTTGAGATCTTCTGGACTCATCTTTTTGTGATACCACCTATTGCCTGAAATAAATGGACTGATATCTGGGGTATGGAGATACTTTTGCTCTACAAAAATGCTATCATTTTGGCCATTGTTGCATAGAAGTTGACTGGTGTGAAGGCATTGCCCTGACCTGTCAATATGGCGCATGCTATGAGATTTGTTTCCCCAAGGACTTGTCCTTGCTCTGACCTTCCTAGAGCTCCTGTTATGTGCTCTGCTGCATGCTGGGGTGCCGCCTGCCCTGAGGCGCTGGATTCTTACTCGTGACCCCCTTGTCTACTCTCCCTTGCCACCAGCAAGGTGGCTGGCTGAAGAGGAGGGTGTGCCTTCAGCTTATTTCTCCCAACCGAGCCAGCCATTCTAGAAGGAAGAAAAGCGGCCAGGAAAACAGGGTTGAGGGAAAGAATCAGACCTTAGATCTTGAGCACATGGAAAGGGACTCTGGGGTTTTTCTCTTTAAAAAGTGATCTTTTTCTACTGACTAAAGAAAAATAACTCGTTAAACATCTGCCCTTCCCCTCCCACTGCTGTTGTTTATAGAGTAACAGATTTTCATTAACTCCAAAATAATGTCTCATTTCTTTAGGAAACCAGGTGTCCAAACATGCAGCAAACCACATTTTCCAACAGCTGAAATAAACTTGAGAACTTGCCACTTGCCCTTAGCCTTTTACTAGAAATTACCTTGTGAGGCTTACGATTTCCCAGTTTGGAACTTCGGTTTTTTTCCTTGGAACCATTATGACCACCATGTTTTAAGATTATTACTGCCCCATCGCTTTTTTTCTGTATTAGTCTTATTTGGATGTGAAGATCCATTTTTAAAGAAAAACAAACAATATTCAATTATTGACTCTTTTTTATTTAATTGAAATGTATGTTACACACCAAAGACCTCAGGACCACTTTGAATTCTGTCCTAGTAAACATCTTTACTAGGAAGAAGGAAAGAGAACCTGAGCGAATGTTGATCAGTATTGTGAAGACGTTGAAATATTCCTTATAATTACATGCCCAAGTGCAGGGAGGGAAGAATTATCATCCCATTGTACAGATGAGCAAATCAAGGCTAATAAAGTTCATTAAGTCTAAGATGACACTGATGGAGAATAGTGAAATCAGGATGCCAACCTAATTTCAAAAACCATGCACATCCTACCTCACCATGAAATAGAGTCCCTCTCAGTCCATGTATAGCACTTCCTGTTGAGTAGTCAAGTCAGAATTCACTTGTGGGTGTGTGTTACTAGCTGCGAGGCCCTGGGTGAAGTATCAGCTCTGTGGGTTTAAATGTCTTCTCTATGGAATGGAGAGAGTAATGATACCCACCTCACAGGGCTCAGGTAAGGAGTCACCGAGCTGATGCACCTAAAAGGGCTCAGAACAGTACCTGGCACATAGGAAATGTGCAGTAAAGTTGTTTGTTAATTGTTGTCATCACCTGTTACTTCATGAATAATAGCAGAAAGCACATATCATGGCTGGGCATTCAGGCATTATCTCAGTACAGCTCTGTAGGTGGTTTGTAATAAATAGCTGTGTTTTTTAGGTTTCGGTGTTTATATATGAAGGACCCACCCTCGGTCTTCTCCATTGGTTCATACATTTACGGGAGAGAAAGGGAATTTCTTAGATTGTTTACACACTTTTGTTTCAGCAGCAAATACCCTTTAAAAATACAGATAGACGCACGGCTGCTTCTATCTGGGTGAGGTGACGTCCAGTTCTCACCCACCCTTCTGCCTGACAGTTCCCTACCAGCTCATTGTCTTGGGTACTTCTGGGAAGCCCTGAATGTCAACGTAATGCAGGCTGACAACCAACCATCCACAGAGCACACAACAAAACACATCGAACAGGGGCTGAGAAATAATATGAATTCTCAGTATCTGCGATAGACAGGTGTCCGGAAGTCCCTCCTCCCATTCTGAAATGGTCTCCACTCAGTAGAGTCACCGTTGGCTGCTTTGTCTCCCCGGCAGGGTCTACAGTTTGGCACCCATGAACTGGAGGAGATGGGAGCCATGTTCTGCCTGGGTCTCCTCATCTTGGAGCTCAAATCCGTCACCTGCAGCCATCAGCTCCTGAGCCGTGCGGCCACCCTACTGAATGCTGAGGAGGAAGTGCTNGTTGCTTCACTGGCCCAAGTTGGCACCATCATTGCGCTCTTCCCGGGCGAGGCAGATCAGTCACCGGCTTCTGGACGGCCACTCATTGTGGCTGCGGGCCGCTCACGCTGGCTGTTGGCTACACACGGTAGCCCATGGCAGCCCACTGCAGCCCCCCTGCAGCCTACGCCGTTGCCTCACAGCAGCCCAGCTGCAGGTCGAGCTGTTGTTTACCATCTTAGCTGTAGAGGGCTCAGCATCACTGGCCCTCATGTGGGATCCGAACCGGCGGCCCTGGTGCTCAGAGCTTGCGTTCCCAATCCAACTCTTAACTAACAAGCCACTCGACCAGCCCTGAAACTTTTCTTGATGCGTGATTTGCATCGAATGCTTCATCTTCTCTGGATTTGTCTTCCTGACGCCCTTACACAAAAACAGCATTTTTGAGACACAATATTTTCTCCTCAGGTCTGCACATGTTGCTTCATTGTCTTTGGTATTTAATAGTGTGAGCAAATTTGGGACTATTTAATAGTAATTATTTGTAGGGATCCTAATACTTTATTTTTTTCATTAATTATACCTTATATATTAGGTGAGCCTGTTTGATCTGCAAACTAAGATTTTTTTTTTTTTTAAACACAGAAGCTCTCCTTGCCAGAATTCTCCTAATCCTCTTTTCTCTTTTTTCTTCTTCTTGGTTTCTTGTGGGATTACTATGCCATCTGAGCCTGAAATTCCAAATGGGAGTAGATCACTTTTCCTTAATCTATTCTAAAATTCTTATTTATGTGTTTAACTTACTATTTTAATGCATTTTTCCCCCTTGAGATACTGAAAAATTTATGAGGTTGTCTTTTGCATACTGGATTTTATGCTCTGCACTGAACAGTTTAACTCTCTCCATTTGGCTTTTAATTTAGAAATTATATTTCGCATTTCAATAATCAAGTTTCTTTTGAGCTCTTATTATTCCCATTTTATGCATTTTGTGGTACTTTCACAAATGCAATATACTCTTGATTCTGAGATTGGAAACAAAAAAAATGCCCAGATTTTTCTCTTTTTTGGCAGTAAATATTTAATAAAAACACATTTGTTTGGTGTCTTCATAGTTCCACCCTTTTAACTGTAGCATTTCTGCATAGGCATTACATCTTCCCTGTGTGTATAGGTTTTCCCTCTAGTGCCCAGTTTTATAAAAAAGAGATACACTTTGTAGGTCTTTGAGGCAGATGCTAATCCCTGTTTGCTTATAACTTGTGTTTGGGGATAAAGACAGAGTTATGTGCAAGATGTGAGGACTGCTTGAAAACCACACAAAGCCAGGACCTCCAAAGAGGACAAGTGCCATCAATGAACTTGTAAAACCGTAGTCTGCCAAGGTAGAAAGTAGGAATGATTGACTGTTTAGGCCATGGCTTTGGGTAGAGCAGGGAAAAACAAAAAGGGAAACACCTTCATTTATAATTTCTCAACACAAACCCTCCATCAAGAAGGTTTGGGGTCAAAATTCAAGTATGTACAGTATAGCCCAAAAGAACTCAAAACTTTAGCATAGAGTGGTCCCTGATTGGTAATCCCCAAGTATTTATGGGAGAAACGCACAAGTTCTTTCTGGAAGAAAGAGCATGAAAACCAATCCACAAAGCCTTCCCTCAAATTCAACAAAATATGAATTTAGACTTCTAAAAAATTATAAAATACTTAAGGAATCCTACCTTATTAACATTAAACAGAAAAATCAAACTCATGAATGATGCCCATAAAGACCTTATATGCAGGAATAATCACATAGGGAATATAAAATAACTGTTTATAGTTTTTCAGTTTTTGAGATGAATGAGTTAAAAAGCAGATTCAATAAAGCTGCAGAGACAATTATTAAAGTGGTGCATTGATAAGAAAAATTCAGAGTTACAGTGATAGAATGAAAAATGATGAAAGTAAAGAGTTATGGAGGACAGAGTGAAAATAACTTAATAGGAGTATTAGGCTTATCTTTGATTTCCTTGGCAGGGAATGGGGGATAGGCAGTATTCAAAGAGATACTGGGTGACATTTTCCCAAAACGATGAAAGATGCTAATCTTTAATGTCAATAAGTTATACATAAAATAAATAAAAAGAAATCTAAATGTATTTTAGAATATGAAAGATAGATGTTACAAACTGCTAAAGGGAATTCTATTCATTTATTGGTATACTGTACTGATTTTTAAACATTTTTCTAGGAAGCGGTAATTTTTTAAAGATTTTCGTGTGTGGATGTTCTCTTCACAAGATCATAGAGCCTCCTCTCCAAATATTTTGTATTTTATTGGCAAAGCATAAGAATATTGTTTAAAAGTGTGTTTTGGGGTTTGGGGATAGCCACCTCTGCTTTCATTGCAAATCTTCACCAGAAATTACATCAATACATGCTTTGTATTTTGGTTTTTTTCCACCTATCATTAAATCATAAGCATTTTCCATATTGGTAAGTGATTATTATAATTATCATTTTAGTGGCTTCATTATAGCCCATCAAATGTATTCCATTGTAATTCCCTTAGTCATTTTTCTTTATTAGATATTTAGGGTTTTATTTCTGTTAAGCTTTGATTGTTATATTTAATCTCGACATAATATACATTTTATGTACATAGCATAAAATGTATTTTGAACAGTCCTTAGGAAAAGTTCCCAGAAGTGATATTATGTCAAATGTCATTGTATTTTGATATGTGCCAGCTTTTATCATAAAAGTCACACTAAGTATTTTAAATCTAAATATGTCTACCAATTTGCTGGGCGTAAGAAATATTTTTGTTTAAATGATAGGATATTTTCCTATGTTTGCTTATTAATTGCACTTCCTCATAAATTATCAGTACATATGCTTTTCAAACTTATTTTTGTGGGCCCTATATCTGTCTTACCAATAAGTAATTTTCTGTAATACTGTAAATATTCTTCCCATATCATTGATATTAAAAGTTATGTAATGATGAGGGTAGTAGCCAATTTTAGATTCAAATGTGCACTTCAACTTATTTTGGGGTGGGTTATCAAGAAAAAAAAATTAATCGTGTAAATAATTGTGTCAGTGACCTTGCTTACCAATACGTGGGTGGATAGCGATCGATACTTTGTAGCAGCCTTGGCATCTAAGTATTGTGTGGCAGACATGGTTGGTTGGCTCACCCAACACTCAGTTCTAGCACCCTTCTCTCCTACCTGTCTCTTTAAAGAGCTTGAACAAGCTAAATAAAATACTCACTTTCAGACCATTGTAAAGCTATAGAGTTAGCTCAAACATACAGTTCTAGCCAATAAAATGTAAGCAGAAATATATGCCTCTTGTCCCCATTTTCTCTTTCTTCTCCCTTGAATTATGATATTCTGGCTGGCGAAACACCAGCCCCCTTGCAATCTTGATGAGAACACCCAGAGATTGGCTGATAGAGTGGTTCTGATTTTGTTAAGACATTAAAATAATGCCATGAACTTCCTA